GGTGGCAGCGGGTTGTGGGGGCGGCGGCGGACGGGCGGGAGGTCGCGAGCGGGCGGGCGAGAGAGGAAATGAAGTGGCGGTTGGGCGTTCGCGGGCGGCGGCTGGTTTTGGACCAGATACATCTCGTGATGTATAATTGCACCGCGAGGTGTAGCATTTTACATCACGAGGAGGCCGCGGTCCAATTTTTTTTACATATGACCCGTCTGTTGGAGCTGCGTTTTTGGCTTCAGACGATCCAAAAGTTAGTTATTTTTACATTTGGACCATCTATTGGAGATGCTCTCACGCTAGTTAGTTTGCCCATGTCCTTTTTCAAAGAAAAAAATGAACAAGTAATTATTTATATTATTTTCAATCCAATTGCACACAAATTAGAGGCATCATATCACAACACATCTCCAACGGATAAGCAAACAACTATCGACATAAGAGAAAACGAATACATTTTGTAATCATCCATGTTTTACTGAACCCGTCTGACCGCGCTTATATTTGACTTCATATATGTAACCAATGTACTAATTTCGTACATTTCCCTGAGCTCATGCTTTAGTTGGATTTACGAACAGTCTTCAAAGTGCAAGAATCAAATTATGCCGAACATGTCCATCACTTTCATGCATTGAGTCTTCTTCTAAGAACTATCTCAATACATGAGCAATTGAAGCAAACATGTAAATATACGTGTTGTGTTATATTTCAAATGATCATTTTCTTTTTAGATCTTTGTTTGGTAAATCAAGTGATTGTCATGTCTTTTATGTTGGTGTACGTACTCTTCATAGACCCCGTGCTTATTGAACTCCTCTAGTCAAACTTGCTTCCCCATCTTTATTGTACATTCAAATCAAACACGGTACAAAATGATAAGATTTAATTTGAGTAAGGATGATGCCGACAAATCTAACAGGTGCCATAACAATCAAAAGCCCTATATTGCACCACCATGGTTTTTGTAATAACTAGATGCAACACATCTAATATCCCTCGTTCGCAGTGTCAAATTGCACACCACTTCGTTTGTTGATATTTTATATGACTGTTTATGCATTTGCACCTGAATGAACTGTAAAATAAAAAAAAATAGTTCAAATTTGAAAATTTTGACTTTTCTTTTTGTAGATGTTCATGTTAGTGCCGCAAGCAGACAATTTTCATCCGAAGCAGAGCAACAGTGTTTCGCCGGTGAAAAAAAAACAATTTTGGGTAACAATTGATGTTCAATTTGTTTTTTTACAGGGGCTAAAATGCTTCACCTTTTTTCCTAAAAAAATTTAGGTAGCATTTGGATGTGACAAAGAACACACAAAAAATTCAAAATTCATTTTCCACAGCCGGGAGCACGTGCTCCTGGGAGCGGAATTGCATTTCCGCT